TATTTTGAGTAAGAATGGAAAACAAAGTATCCCCCCCGAGGGCTTCACTTTCTCCCTACTTTCCCATGTAAGGCCAACTATTTACCATGCTTGGACTTACCAAATATGGGAAAGTAATTGATTTCCCATCTCCAAGCCTCCTTTTCCATGAACATAAGGTTTTATAATTGACACAAAGGGCAAATTAAGCTTTTGAAAGCAGATAAAACGTCACCGTGATAATAATTAATATGTGTGGATGGATTCCAAGCATGCAATGATGCAACACATTAATTTTACAATTAACAGCAACTTGTATGGATAAAAAAATAAAGTATATTGTAAGTATGTGTGGAAGGATATTGAAGCAATTGGATCCATCTTTCTTGAAGTTTATATTATGAATAATATGAGCATGACCATAAATTAATTAAGAAAGGCTGGCATGTTGAAATCACCAACGTGGTTGTTAACTTGTTAATTAGGTTAACGACAGCCTTTTGCTCCACACCTGAAAATCGTATGGGAAAATAAAAGGAAGCTAGTGGAGAATATTTTCCTCACATGGTCAAGCCAGATTGAATGAATATGAACCCCAGGTCAAGTTGCAATCTCTCCATTATTTATTATTATTGGTCCAACCCAAAGTTGACCAGTAGGTGAAAAGCAGAAGAATTTTATAATAATAATAATAATAATAATTATTATTATTATTTTTTAAGACTTTTCCTATTGAGAGGAGCGATAGTATACTAAACTCACACACACTACACGAATGCTAAAACTCGAACTCAAAACTTTCTAATTATTCATCTAACAACGTTATTGATGCAATAACCAGTAATGAAACAAAAGAATCAGCATGCCTGATGACACATGCAAACGTTCATATGTTAATAAAACTAAATAAAAAGGAAATATAAAATTGGAACGTGGGTTACGCCTAACCTAATTATAATTGATCATGTTGAAGCAGTACGTATCCAAAATATTGACTTCAAGTTCCGTTTAATTTATTAATTAATCTCAATTCACATGTACACTTGCCTTTGTTAATTTCCATCTATCCATCCATCTATAAATACACATGGCTCGCATTCCTCTGCCTTCCAATTCATATACCCCAAACACACATCTTCAATTTGCAACCATATATCATATTTATGGACTCCAACGAAGCTGAGCTCTCTTTTCTTTCTCCTTCCCTCTCCCCAACCAGCAGGTAATATAAACATGCTCTCTCTCTCTCTCTCTCTCTCTCTCTCTCTCTCTCTCTCTCTCTATATATATATATATATATATATATATATGATTTCAGCAAAATTTTCATATATATTTTTTTATTACAAGCAATTGGGGGAAAATGTTTTACACAAATATTCATTGGGTGTGCTGGGTTTCGAACATATGCACCCACATAGGTGGCGGAGCCACTCCTAGGCCTAGAATGGCCCTGGCCCCCCCCATATTTTTATCTCTCCTCTATTATGTTATATATAACATATAGAATTTGTAATAAACAACTTATAATTTAAGTTATAGTTCCCTCTAAAATAAGTTAGACATGACTAAATTATAAATATTTAGCTCTAAACATGTAATTATTGAATACTTAGGTGTTTTATATACTTGTATTTTCTACTTTGCCCCTCCTAACTTTACAATTCTAGCTATGCCCTTGAGTGGAGGTGAAAGAGCTCAACCAATTGAGTTATATCTATTGACATTTTATTTTGTCGGATATGATCATAAATATAATGTTGTAGGGAAATTGATTTTCTTTCCTCCTCAAAATAATGATAATAATAATAAGAATTAATGTGGACATTATTAAATTTTCATGGCCGGGGAAGATGGTGGTCGGAGGACACAGTAGCCATAGTTACTGGGGCAAACAAGGGCATTGGGTTTGCGCTTGTGAAGAGGATGGCGGAGTTAGGGATGACGGTCATATTAACAGCCCGAGACATTGAAAGGGGTTGCAAAGCTGTGGAGGCTCTGAGAGCCCAAGGTCTTTACAATGTAGCCTTCTCTTGCCTCGATGTATCGGACCCTTCTTCAATCAGAGCATTCACATCCTGGTTCAGAAAAAGCTATGCAGCCTTGGATATTCTTGTAATATTAAGTTTTCTCTTCCCCACCATACCATTTCAAGTTAATTATTTCATATTTATTGATTAGTTCGCTGACCACTTCTATTAGGTGGGCCCCACTAATATATGTGAGACTCACATGTATTAGAGAAGTGATTAACAATGTGATATTATATAGTGATATATATAGTGTTACATATATAATATTGACCTAAAATTCGGGCCAATTTTTGAAAATTCAAGGTAAACAACGCAGCTGTGTCGTTTAATGATCTCAATGAAAACTCGGTGGAACATGCGGAGACAGTGATGAAAACCAATTTCTATGGACCCAAGTTGCTGATTGAGGCCCTCTTGCCCGTGTTTCGTAGCTCTTCCTCCGTAAGTCGGATTCTTAATGTTAGCTCCAGACTTGGCTCACTAAATGTAAGTGAAACAATTTTATAAATAGTTATATACATAAATTCTCCTATGTGAACATTCAGATGTTATTACTGTGCGGACATTATGTATTTTTTACTATCCCTCTATATTTTTGTCCTTATTTACATTGATATCTGCATTATAATAACATATGGACATCTGGATGATTGAATAACTATACTTATATGATATATATATATATATTTATATATTTTACTTGCTCAAATTATATATATGGCTTTGCAGCAGCTAAGAAACCCTAGCATAAAACAAGTTATGAAAAGCGAAAGACTATCGGAAGAGGAGATTGAAGGGGTGGTTAATTTGTTTCTCAACGACGTGAAGAGCGGCACATGGAAGAGCAAAGGGTGGCCGAAATTATGGACCGACTATGCTGTGTCAAAGCTTGCACTCAACGCATATACAAGAGTTTTGGCAAAGCGATATGAGGGAAGGGGTTTGAGTGTGAATAGCTTCTGTCCAGGCTTCACACAGACATCTATGACTCATTGTAAGGGCGACCACACCGCAGATGATGCCGCGGGTGTGGCTGCTAGGCTGGCCTTGCTTCCTTCTCACCAGATTCCATCTGGAAAATTTTTCTTCTGGGGTAGTAGTAATGCTATTTCCTCTAAATTATAGCTTCAGTGATTGCATTTGGAGTTAGATTTAGTTTTTTGGCCACCAGGGCATAATGAAGTGGGCAATCTTTCGAGAGGGAGAGCCTTTAATTAATTTTTTCTGTTAAAGATACTTTGGGTATGACTATATGCACGCTACATGTGGGAAGAGAAACCAAGAAAATTTAGTAGGCGACCATTACTTGTTTGATCGGGTGTATTTATATCTTTGTGAGTTTGATGCTATAATCTTAAAAACACTAGAAATTGTTAGAACTAAGAACATCTCCAAGGGAGATGCCAAATATCAAACATCAAATTTAAATTTGATGGTTGATGTGACAATTTGACATCTTACACAGTTTTACACTCCACCCGATATGTCAAATTAAATTATTATTTTATTACATTTTAGTGTTGATTCATTTTAAAAATAAAAGAAAAAATAATAAAATAATCATTTGACATCTTACTTTTGGGATGTCAAAAATAACATCTCAACCTCCAGCCTTCATTCCACATCAGTTTTGACTCAGTACTATGTTGATCGGTTATGTAATAATCTATGTACATCGCAGATCTTACGCAGCAAAAAAGAAATTTTGAAATTTAACTTTAAAAAAAAAAAACTTAGAACCTATTGCCAAGATGCATATTCAAACCAACTGGGACACATCATAATGGGAGACGTTATTTGGTGACTTTTTACTTTATTTTTTATTTTTAACAGAAATCCAATCAAAGAAAGTATGCAAACCTCCTTCCACTGCAGTTTACTGCACAAATTTAATGTCACCCAATTCTTTGGCCAATTGATTTCAAATCGAGCCAAAAATTTGAAAAACATCATAATATAGTGGGGGGTCTTTTAATGAGTTTGTACTGAAATCAAATCAAATAAACTATGCAAACCTCCTAGCCCTCTTTGGGGAGGGAAAAATGAAGTCCCTTATATGCGTGGCCACTTGACTTCTTAGTAAGAGGTCTTTTAGGCAAGATAGCATAAGCTTGAGTCAAGGAACATAATCGTGGGAGCCCATGAGACCAAAATTGGACAATACCTTGCTGGTGAAATAGGGTCTTGACAAAATGGGATCAGAGTTGGACCTCGACCAGAAGTTTGCTTGCGACAACGCTGGGTGAGTGGATTGTAAGACTTATGCTCCTTAAGGATACAAGGCAAGAAGGGGCAAGAGTAGTAAGCAATCGTACATCACTCGGGGACGGAAATGTGAAGTGCCATATATGTGTGGTCAAAACTTGAGTTCCTTGTAAGAGGCCTTTTGGGCAACATAGCATAAGCTTGAGCCCAACGACGAATCCACCATGTTGTCAATGGGGTTAATTGACCCCATGAAAACCATGAAAATGGTTGTGGAGGTCCAGTTCCCCTATTTTCAAGAGCAGTAAATGCTGCTATCATTATCAAGATTTTGTAATCCATTATTATATTTCTGTTCATCCAATTGTTTAGTAATGGCTTCCACTACTACTCCATCAAGCTTGACATGTTGGTTGAATGATTCTTATGATAATAGCCATGCTTGTTTGTTTGATCCACTATCAGTAAAACGAAGCCTTCTGTTTTCTCGTTATTATTAGGAGCTCTTACGAAGCGTTTCGTTACCAAAAGATGTAAAGCTTAATCTGGTGAAGCAAAATAATTTTAGCCTTAGATGGCAGCACAAGTTTTAACAGAATCAAATATTTAGCAACTCTTGCTATCTTATTGGCAATCCATACCGACCAAATGGAATGCATTTTATTTATGGACGGACAATTACAGACGGCCCTTCTACTATGCTTCCATATTATCTATACCTTTAGTATTAGCATAAACAATTTACAGACAAAGGGTAAATCAAAGGATTACTAAAGCGATGAATTATATAGCTTTTGCAAATCCTACCCTGAGATTGCCGAAGTCAAACACTGTGTGGTATGCTCCCAAGAACAGAGCTCCAAGAACCCTGCAGAATGTGCTCATTTCATGACATTCTTGCATAAACCTTAAAATGAAGATCTTATGCGAGGTGAAGAATCACAACGAATCATGAAGTAGAACCTAAAGGAGGGTCATAGTGACTTACCATAGAGGACCTTGCGGGGGAGGCACATCCAAAGCAACAAATCCACTAAGGCAGACAATAGAACATTTTCCTTCAACTTTAAGTATATACTGAACATCAAGTCCAAAACATGTTAGAAATGGAGTGAATCTAAAGGAAATTGGTTTAATTAAGTTCCTTTCTAAACATTTGAGTTCTATCTTAACAAAACCATGCTACTTATGTTACAAAGTGTGGACTAAGAGCTATAACAAAACCTGTACCTGTTCTGGGGAGAGGGTGAAGGATTTGTTCCCAATTGTAAATGAAACATCTGGCATGAATGCAATGTTATCACAGTTGACAAATGACCTTCTCAACGGATTCGGAAGCTTCTCGCACAACTTTACTCGCAAAAAATTCACAAAGAAAGGAAAGAATCAAAAGAATTTTTAGCTTTGGTGTATGCATATTTATCAGTCAAGCCTCATACTTTCAGAAGAATTACCTCATTCACATAGCTAAATATTTTTTCCTTTGCTATTTGCTTTTTAAGCTGCAGCTGAATCCAGTAGACAACCATTTCACACAAGGTACATAGAGGAGTTTCATCAACTGATGACTCCTTCCCAGTTTCATTCTCTATCACTGACTCAATATAGTTTCTGCAGAAGTAAATTTTGCCTTCTGCTATGGTTATTATGATGAAGATATAAAAAACTGAACAAAATAAACAAAATAATAATTGGAAGAAAAAGAAAAAGTCTCAACTTCACATTACGAGATCCATCATATGAACATAGACCGATATCCACACACACTATATCAGGCCGTACCTGCAGACATATGAGGTAAACTCTAATGCATTTCTTCATTTCCAAAAAGGAATTGCAAAGGAAGTGAAAAGGGAAAAAATACGAACCCCAGATACTAGATATTCCCATATCAAATTTCCATAAGTGGAAACAACATTTTTACATTCCAAGTTTGCATATCCGTCTGCTCCAATGGCATGGTTGATCTGAGCCACTATAGTCTGTAAAAGAAGAGTTAATCAAGGGTGGAATACAAGTTGTTACTGCTCAAAGTCTGAAGTTTTAAGCATGAGTTTATACAGTTGGACCAGCAAGGAAGGATGTTCCTGAGTCCACAATGGCAGCACAGCCACCCTTGCATAGTCCTGAAAATTTTAAACTTTCATGTCGTATGATTGTAAATTGAATAAAAACAGAATCAAGTTATTTGGTTTTTTTAGGCCTCTACATATGTTTTTGGGAGAATTTTTGGCTTGTCAAGACCAGACATGTACATGAATTCCTTGACTCACCAAGCAGCAAATTTAGTCTCTAAACATAGGATAAAGATAGTTAAACAACGTAGGAGTGGAAATGTAGTAGAACCTGTGGAATTGTCTGCAACAATAACATCTCCAACATCAATCTGGAGAGATGAACAAAACTGAATCAAATGTCATCTCATTTGGCAAGAAAAATATATTAGAGAGGAACACCAATTTCTTTTTGCTATAATAAACCTGCCAGTAACCCTTTTTTGAAATCGGGACATAGGTGTGATCACCCGTAAAGTGCCTCCAATCAAATCCACCAAAGACGATCTCACCTCCCACCCTTGATGTTGGATCATGATTTAGCCAGATAGAGAAAATTTGCTGGCTCATATGACCTTGTTGCACCATGTTATACCTGCACCCAGAAAACTAACTCATGCTTTTAAGCCATCAAAACTCCTTTTATATTTTTAATCAGCCGGGAGTGGGGATTCAAATATGAGATCTAATCCAAGTTCCAACGCTAAGATGAAATGTCCGACTAGACTAAGAGCTAGTTAAAGATATATCAGGTTTAAGCAGTTTATGCCAGAAACATACCACACTGGTGTGGCTTCGCCAACAGAAATATCCTGAAATCCAAGTCCAAGGACCCCATCAAACCGTGCAGCTAAGAATGTAAGGACTCCTTCCCTTGTAACCTCAACAAATTCCTAAAGGATGGAAACCAGACATAGCATCAACAAATTGGAAAAAGAATATATGTAAACAAAAAAAACTTTAGATAAACCAAAATGGAAATAGAGAAAGAGCACTACTTGATCTTTGACGATCACATCCCCAATTTTAACGTTGTCTGCACTGAAGTAGCCGGAAATGGAACCAGAGCCATAAGGAATTTTGCAGGGTATTCCTAAATAATAACACAAAGTAATTTTGAGTTTGATTCTATCAAAAATTTCCCACAAGAAATCTTCTGTGTCAATTAAAAAATTAAAAAAAGGGGTCAGTTAGATGCATACTCAAATGTAAGGGATAGGAAAGATTACCAATTTTGGTGTAGGTACTCGATATGCTTGCCCTGTATTTTGAATGAAAGTAACAAGCAATCTGCATACAGTCACACTTTAGAAACTACTCAAAACTCTAAGAACACCATAGATTCAAAGCATTTTGATAATTCACTGCCATACTTACAGAAAAGATGCATCTTGAAGATGGGACCCAAAGATTGGCGCTGCCAGTATCAAAGACAACAGCCAAGTATTGTGGGGGAGAACCAATAGCAATCTCTCCATAATATTGGGTATCAAAGTAATTTTTCAGATATACAATATTAGATTTAAGATTATTGGAGTTAATATTTACATCCCCCAGACCTCTAGGTTGAGAAACTTCTGTCTTGGTGATTCTTGCAGCATTCAATCTGTTGAGGCCTACAGGCTGCTTCTTGAGACCAATTCTCAGTAGCCCATCATTGGATATTGCAGCAGCCAAGGAGCCTGACCAAACCCAAATACAAATTGCAACCAGAAGACCCTTAAACGCCATGCTCATAGAGCTCTCTGGCTCCAGCCATGACAAAAAATAAATACAGTTTTAGAAGAATGAGCTCCACAGCTGTACAAATTGGACTACATGTATTAAAGCTGGGATTAACTATCCATTTGCATTCAATTTCAGAAAAGTCTGTCTGAAAATTTTAAGTTTTCACTACCAACTTCAAAAAATTCTTATAAATCAATCATACTGCAAAGTTTTTGACACGATGAACAATATAATAATCAATCTGACAATACAATATTATTACAATATCTATGCTTAATTCCCATAGTAAACAGCTATTAACATGCCAATGTTGGAATTTGAGTTACTAATACTGATGGGTCGTAATCAGAAACAAAGTTCATAGTTTCATACCTCACTGGCATTGGCTTTACGTGGTGAATTGTGCGAGTGATCATGAGTAGCTCAATGGGCTAACCTTTTTGTCCACCGTTTTATAGAACAGATGGAGAGAGAGAGAGAGAGAGGGAGAGAGAGAGAGAGAGAGAGAGAGATTTAGGAAACCACAAGGCAGTTTCCAGGTCCGTGTGAGTTAAGAATTAGCCAAAAGAATATACGGAGACAGCCACGCATCTTTGGTTGTAGAGTTTGCTGCTACGCCACAAGAGGATCATGGCTACAATTTCGTGGCCTTACAAATTACAATCACTTCTGTGCAAAATGCAGACATGCAATTCATCTAGCAAAGAAGCAAAAAAAGAAAACAAAAGAAGTACTTAAAGTGGGAAAATGCATGTGGCAAAGGGTCATGCAACAGTTTATTGAGTAAGCAATAATCGGTTACTTTTATGTTGGGTTCAATAGGACAGTGTGCTCGTACATCGAAGCATTGAACAACATTAATTATAACATCAAGCAAGCGATTGACCTTAAGTAGTTTGTTTAATAATGATTAATGCTCTAATGGCTAATTACAAGAAACATACAATTTACTTGTATACTTAAAATGAGCAATGTCGAGAGAGGGGAGACTTGAACACAGGAATGACCCGAATTGTAATCGTCAATTATCACAAGGGAGCTATTATTGTCACTCCTGAAAAGTCATAACTTCCTTTAATATATTGGAGGAATGATTACTTTTTTAAAATGTCAATAAAACCTCCCTCGTTACGAATCGTCCCTTAATACTTGTGTTTCAAAACAAAAATCAAATGTGTTGGGAGGCTGACAAACAAAAAACACTCGAGTAAGCCTTCATTTTACCAATTAAAAAAAAAAAGTAAAAAGAATTTCTTTGCAACTAATACTTTGCCTTTTCTTTTCCTTTAATTTAGAAAATAAATAATAATAAAAAAAAGGAAAGAGGGAATTTGGGCTTTGGTGGGCCTATCGACTTATGGGCCTAAACAGAGCTTCAAAGATAAGATTGGGCTGGCCACTAAATTAAAGAGTTAGCTCCCAAATCACGAGTGTAACGGGCGGGTAGATTGTTCATCATCATCTTCATTAAACGAAAAAGAAAACTTTTTGTAACCAAAAAAAAAGAAAACTTTTGGCGCTTGAGAGACGTTCACGTCTCCAAAAGGGCAAATTCAAAAACCCAAATTACTCTGCAAAATCCGAGAGTTTGATTCTTACTTTCTCAGTTTCTGTTCAAGAATGGCATTGGAGGACGACGACTGGGACTTGAGCCCCAATCTTGCCATCTGGACCTACAATAGTACGAAAATAAGCTAAATCACTATAATAAATGGGAATTAACTAAGTAAATGCAAAGAAATAAGATAGCAAAGTCGCATAAATATGCTCCTATCAAGCGGTGCGGCTATACTCGTATTGAACATGTGCGTACATATTTTTTATGTTTAATACACTTATTTTTTTATATAAAATTTTCAATAAAACACAAAAACTTCACGAATTATACACAAAATTCGCACATATTATTGAATACTAATAATATATACAAATAAATTTAAATATGTTATATTAAAATCTTATATAGTAGCTGAACTTTTTAGTTGTAATTTGACAAATAAAACACGTACGTATTTTATTCTTATAGCCACTTGGCTAAACCCAAAAAAAAATCTATAAAGTATAAACTAATGCAACTAGGAGGGTCTTATTTATTAATTTTGATGTATTAAATAGTATAGCCGCTCGGCTTTACGCCTTTTTTAATAATTTTTTTAAAAGAAATGGTGTAGCCGTGAGGCTATACTGGGTTCTTCTATTTTTTTTAAAATTTTATAAAAGAAATAGTATAGCCGCGATACCAGGTTTTTCATTTTTTTTTATATAAAAAGAACTAGTATAGCCGCTATACCCTGTTGTTTGAAATTGTTTTAAAACAAATAGTATAGCCGTCCGGCTGTACTCGCTTTTTGCAATTTTTTTTAGCCACCGGTAATACAAATCCAATTCTCATGTCACATTATTCATTATGAATGAATGCGTCTTTCTTTGTAACATTGTTTTCAAATTTTAGTTAGGCCATACGCAGTACCGTACAAGAACCGTTTTCGAAAATGTATCACCTGAGCTACTGAGGTATAGCCGCACGGCTATATTTTCTGTTTTCAATTCTTTTTAAAGAAATAATATAGCCGCCGGGCTCTAATTTTATTTATAAAATAAATAGTATAGCCGAGCCGCTATACTTGGTTTTTTCTTATTTCTTTAAAAGAAACAGTGGCTATACTCGTATTGAAAATGTACATACATATTTTTTTTATGTTTACATGTATTTTTTAATAAAATTTTCAATAATACACAAAAATTTCACAAATTATACACAAATGTCACATATTATTGAATACAAATAATATATACAAAAAAATTTAAATATATTATACTAAAATTTTATATACTAGCCGAACTTGTAAGTTGTAATTTTCCGAATAAAATATGTACGTATTTTATTCTTATAGCCACGTGGCTATACCAAATTAATATCTACAAAGTATAAACTAATGCAACTAGGAGGGTTCTATTTCTGCCGTGCGGCTATACTCGGTTTGTTCTTATTTCTTTAAAAGAAATAGTATAGCCGTGTGGCTATACTCGTATTGAACACATACATACACAGTCCCCTTCTATTGAGGGGTCCCTCAAATAACGCCCTTTAGGGTACTCTACAATTTTTTTTTCCAATGATCAAAACCATCTATTTTTTAGGTCTTCATTCATAGATCATCCTTACAAAAAATTAGACAAATCGGAAACCGTTTCGACATCCAATTGTGTCCTACAAAATCAATGAACACGGTGCTTCAAGAAAGTACTAAAATTTCAATAACTCAATTGAATGGTCAAATGATATCGGATTCAAGTGATTTTTTGTAGAAATGATCTTTGAATGTGTATCTACAAAATAGACGGTTTGGATTAGTGAAATACAATCCGGAGTGGGCCCTACAAGGAGTGTCCCTCAAATAAGCTTATTTGGGGATCCCTCAATGGAAGCTCTCTGCATACATACATAGTCTTTTATGTTTAATACAAGTAGTTTTTATTAAATTTTCAATAATACACAAACACTTCACAAATTATACGCAAAATTCTCACATAATTTTTAATAGAAATAATATATATGAAAGTTTCTTATTATATTATATTAAAATATTATATAGTGGCTGAAATTTTAAGTTGTAATTTGCCAAATAAAATACGTACGTATTTTATTATTATAGCCGCCTGGCTATACCAAATTAATTTGTATAAAGTCTAAACTAATGCAACTAGGAGGGTCTTATTTCTTAATTTTGTTTAATTACATAGTATAGCCGCCCGGCTAAACTCTTTAATTTTTCTGAAAGAAATAGTATAGCCGCACGGCTATACTTGATGGTTTTAATTTTTTAATAAAGAAATATTATAGCCGTGCGGCTATACTCGGTGTTTTGAATTCCTTTAGAATTAGAAAAGACAGTAGCCAAGACAGTAGCCACGCTGCTATAATCGTATTGAACATAACATACATATTTTCATGTTTAATACACGTATTTTTTTTAATAAAATTTTAAACTTCAAAAATTATACACAAAATTCTCACATATTATTGAATACAAATAATATATACCAAAAAAATTATATATTTTATATTAAAATTATATATAATTGCCAAACTTTTGACCTGTAATTTGCCGAATAAAACACATACGTATTTTCATATATTAATTTCAGCCTTTTCATTAATATCTCCACGTACCACCCAAATTCATTTAAGATATTAATAAACAATCATGTCTACAATATTAATTTATCATAAGTATTGTATTATATGTGAACTACAGAAGTAACGCCCTGGCAAACAATTTTTGAGTAATTCAAAATTTCTCTTAAGCCAAATAGGAAATGTGAACATCAGCAAAATAATGGGTGGTAAATAACAGCATGATTTGGAAATGTCGTCTAGTAACTCCTGCCCCAGTAAGTCCACTTCTTTGCTGGCTTTCCGGAGGCAAAGCAAAGTGTCCCTGCACACAAGTTGCATTATTAATTTCCAAACACTATGGCAATACTTTGCGGTGATGCACAACACTAACGAGACGACTGCCGTCATGAAATTGCAAACATGTTACGAAGGTTTGGAAGCACATGAAACTAGAAATGTACCTTCAGGAAGTTCAGGCTGCTTGAATGGGGTGCAGAGTGACTTGGCTGCTCCAATTTCACCCTTCGTTCGTTTTTTCACATCCTCCTCTACTTCCTGAAAAATATGAAATAAAAGGCAAAAAAGGAGGGGGGAAAAATAGATGACAGCAGGATTAAAAGGTTTGTAGAAACGAACATGAACAGGACCACAAAGAAGAAGACAGGTAAAATTACTAATGATTACAAATCAAACAAAAATGAGGACACATTATCTAACCAGACCTAGTTGTCAAGCTCAACACAAAGAAAACTAATAGGTCCAAGTTTCTAGAATTAGTACTGAAAGTAAACAACCTGTAAATACCCAAATAGTCAAGGCTAAGCTCTTTGTGAAAAATAAAAAACATTTGGTCGAAAGACTAAGCTGATATAAAGAGAATCCA